GAAGCCATATCACCAAAATATTCATGGGCTAATACACATGGAAAATTGAGAAAATCGCCTAATTCTTGTAAATTGGCTCCTAAATGCTCAAAATAGACTCTAAAAATTGTGAGGTTGTATGTACTGCTCCCCCAACTCTCTATGGGGGGTTTCGTAAAGGTTTAGCAAAGAAATCGTCTGGAAGCCATATTACAAAAATATTCATGAACTAACACACTCGAAAAACTGACAAAATCATCTAATTCCTGTAAATTGGCCCCTAAATACCCAAAATTGACTCTTGTCAAACATACCGTCCACGTTGTTCTTTTAAAATATGTATTTTTACCTTTTATAATTAATTAAACTAAATATCATTTAGTTGTGTAATTACAATAATTTTATGACATTATATTTTTAAGGGATAAGGGTCTAAAAAATACCTTAATTTTGGTCGGATTTGCTGTTGCGATACTAAATTTTCATGAGAACCTATTACCTCCCTAGACTATTTAATATCGTATTTTTTATCCCCTAAACTATTTAATAGTGTATTTTAAAGATATATATGTGCCCACGTGGACACATTACTATTTATAATTTTGCATTATTTTTTATATCCACGTGGGCAAATATATATGTTTAAAATATGGTATTAAATAGTCTAGGGAGGTAATAGGTTCTCATGAAAATTTAGTATCGCAACAGCAAATCCGACCAAAATTAAGGTATTTTTTAGACCCTTATCCCTTAAAAATATAATGTCATAAAATTATTGTAATTACACAACTAAATGATATTTAGTTTAATTAATTATAAAAGGTAAAAATACATATTTTAAAAGAACAACGTGGACGGTATGTTTGACAAGAGTCAATTTTGGGTATTTAGGGGCCAATTTACAGGAATTAGATGATTTTGTCAGTTTTTCGAGTGTGTTAGTTCATGAATATTTTTGTAATATGGCTTCCAGACGATTTCTTTGCTAAACCTTTACGAAACCCCCCATAGAGAGTTGGGGGAGCAGTACATACAACCTCACAATTTTTAGAGTCTATTTTGAGCATTTAGGAGCCAATTTACAAGAATTAGGCGATTTTCTCAATTTTCCGTGCTAATAGTTCATGAATATTTTGGTGATATGACTTCAAATGATTTCTTTATGAAACCTTTACGGAACCCTCTGTAGGGAGTTGAGTGAGCAGTACATACAATCTCACAATTTTTAGAGTCCATTTTGAACATTTAGGTGCCAATTTACAGGAATTAAATGATTTTCTTAGTTTTTCGTGTGTAATAGCCCATGAATATTTTGGTGATATGGCTTCCAGACGATTTCTTTGCGAAACCTTTACAGAACCCTCTTTAGGGAGTTGAGTGAGCAGTACGTACAACCTCACAATTTTTAGAGTCCATTTTAGGCATTTAGGGGCCAGATTACAAAAATTAGGCGATTTTCTTAGTTTTTCGTATGTGTTAGCCCATGAATATTTTGGTGATATGACTTCTGAACAATTTCTTTGTGAAACCTTTACGAAAGCCTCCGTAGGGAGTTAGGGGAGCAATACATGCAATCTCACAATTTTTAGAATCCATTTTGGACATTTATGAGCCAATTTTACAAGAATTAGGCGATTTTCTCAATTTTCCATGTGTATTAGCCCATGAATATTTTGGTGATATGGCTTCTTGACGATCTCTTTGTGAAACATTTTTAGATCCCTATTTAGGGAGTTGAGAGGGCATGACGTAGATTCTCATAATTTTTAGAGTGCATTTTGGGCATTTAAATGCCAATTTAAAGGAATTAAACGATTTTCTTAGTTTTTCATGTGTGTTAACCCATGAATTTTTTTTGTGCTATGGCTTCCGAACAAATTATTTATGAAACCTTTACGGAACCCTTCATATAGTTTGTGGAACAGTACGTACAGTCTAACAATTTTTAGAGTTCATTTTAGGCATTTAGGGATCAATTTACAGAATTAGGCAATTTTTTAGTTTTTCGTGTGTGTTAGCCCATGAATATTTGGTGATATGGCTTTCAGACAATTTCTTCATGAGACATTTACGAAATCCTCCGTAGAGAGTTGGGGGAGCAGTACATACAGTCACACAATTTTTAGAGTCCGTTTTAGGTATTTAGAGGCCAATTTTCTCAGTTTTTCATGTATGTTAGCCCATGAATACTTTAGTGATAAAACTTTTGATCTATATATTTACAAAACCTTTAAGAAATTCTCATGAGGGAGTCGAGGGAGCAATACGTGAAGCCTCACCATTTGTGGGACATATTTTTATGACATTTAGGAGCCATGGTAATCAGAGCGACATAGTTCTCAAAATTTCAAAATGGAGTGCCTTTAACAAATATAAAATAAAATAGAAGTTGTGGCTAGCTAGACGAGGCAGGTTTATGTAGGGCTAGTTGAAAACAAAAAAATTTACTATGTGGGACAGAGTAATTTAGGTTAAGCTTGAATCTGCTTCGACTTATTTTGTCCACCATCTCTACAAAAGCCTAGCGCGTCATTTGTGGTTCAAAGAATGGAGGAACAGTTACCGCTTGACTTCTCCAATTCTCTACATTTGCTTTCCAACCTATAGTCGTACCATCACCAAACAATCAAACAAGTTAGTAGGTGTTTGAACATAAGTTTGATTAAAATTCAAAAAGGAAGAAGCATTTTTGAAGTTGAAATTAAAATAAAGGTATTTGAACAAATATTTCACTTGAGAAAAAGTTAAAAGTTTTTTTAGCCAAAAAAAGTATTTCACTTGAAAAACATATCGTAAAAAACTAATAAAAAAATTAGTGCAATCTATAATCAGACAATGCTTTGAAAAATATTGTAAAGGGTAATTTTTACTAATCAAATAAATTATGTCATTAATTACTAGTGAAAGACATTGTATAAGCTGATAATATTTTTGAAGGATCCGAATAAAATATATAGGTTGACATTGAAAATTAGAGTTTCAGTTATATGTGTTGTCGGCTTATCTTGTTCAGACTCTTCAAAAATATTGTCAGGTGTGTATTAGATCCTCTAAAATTAGAATATTTTGAAAAGGTCTATGACAACATTTTTGAAGAGTTCGAATTGTGAGCACATATAACTTAAACTTTGATCTTCACTTCATGAAAGTTTAATTATTACTTATATTGTTCAGACACTTCCCAAATAATATTATCGGATGTATGTCAAATCTTTCAAAAGTAATACATGTTTAAAAAATTCAACACAAACACATCAAATATTATAGAAATAATATACCAGTGTCAATGCATATAACTTAAACTCTGGACTTGACTAGATGAAAGTTCAAGTAGTAATTACCAATGGTGGGATCAGCTCCATGGAGTTTAAGTTCTCTATGCTCTTGGCAAATTGCACAAAAACAACAGCATCCATGTACTATGTTATCTTTACATGTTTCCTTTGGCAAACCTAACAATTTTCTCAATTTGGATCTGTAATGAAATCCATAACCACCTTGGCACCCTATTGAGCACAGTAAGAAGTAAATTGTTGTTGCTGCTACACAAGCTGCAAAAAAAAAAGGAGGTAATTTCAAATTTCATATATAAAATTTTGATATTCTAGAGTTTTTCCAAGTTAAATAATGTGAGCTTATAACTCAAGTAGGGGCGTCAAGGTGGAGGTATATTGGGCCGTCCTTGAAAAGGGCGGGCTTGGTGGGCTAATCTCTGGCCTGCCCTATGGAAGCACATAGCTAAATCGTGACGCTCAAGCAAAGGCATGGGCTTCTTGATCGATCTCTAAAGTGGGGCGGACTCTTTGAGGTTGATTTCACATGACAACGTTCTATAGTTTACCAAATTGAGTATCACATGATAGGGTGCGCTCCAATATACCACCACCACCTTTTTGCTTTACTAGGTTTAATTATTTTTCACACAAATATTTTAATATACTAAAATTTCACTTATAAAATTAAGAACTTCAGGATAATGAGATTTTTTTAAGATAACGTCGAAAAGTGATCAATAGATGATATTTCTAAAAATAAAGAGATTAATGCATCATTCTCCCTCATGGTGATGGGGCATATCCCTAGCTAGCTAATGTAATATATTTTGGAACTCTATTTTTTGAGTTTACGCTGGAAAATTTCACTTTAACGGTAAAGTGCTCTTTAACAAAGATAACCTATTCTTTGAGCTCAAATTTAAGATGATAATTAAAAATGAAAAGGTGGTACTTACCACCTAAGATTTATGTTAAGTTTTCAACAACAAATATGCAGTGTAATCCTACGAGCAGGATCGAAAAAGAAAGGAAGACTAAACTTACATGTTTCTCCTTTTGATATAATCTCAGCATTCTCCCCCATGGTGATGCAAGGGAAAAAACAAGTAGTCACACCTTCAAAAAAATCAAGAATTATTTTAGAAATTGGAGTTTGCAATAATAATGAAGACACACAAAATGCAAAATTAAACTATACAGTTGATAGGATCATTGAAGCAATCACAAAGACCACTTGACCATTGACCCTCCAATACATGCATCTCTGTTGATGGCATCTTGCAAAGCAAAAACAAAATAAAATGGAGGAATAGAAAGGAAATTAAGAGGTTATTTTCAAAATATTTATTTAGAATGTAAGATAATTTTTGTTGGTATCTTGTCTTTATAATATATTAAGATCATAAAGAAGGTTTTAATTAAGTAGGTCAAGATTTAATAGTGTATAAGCTACATTGTTTCTTTCTATATCTATTCTTATAGGTGCCTATAGCCAACTCTATTTTTTTTTAATTTTCACCTAGTATTTGTTATCATATTGAGATTTGACTAAATTTAAATTCGAATTGGAAGTCAAAGTTTGACTAAATTCAAATTTGACTCGGGAGTCAAACGCTTCCTATCAAAAGCAACTTCATATTCAATAAGACTTAAATCCAAAATCTCAAACCAATGATGAAAAAGTACTTATCATTTGTCAAAAAAAAAACGACACTTCTTATTTTAAGGTTTTATTGTGATGACTCTAGAAAGTAAAGAATGAGGGACAACTAGGACTAGAGAAGTAGGGTAGGTTTACATTAATGATATTACTAATAACTTTATACATCTCATTTACTCTTAATTAAAAAATCTCTAGACATTTTTAAGATTACAAGTACATTTTTAAGAATATATTCGAAACTAAAAAAAAATAGATTTAACCCCTGAATATGAAGTATTTTTATTAGAAAAACACGTTACAATTTTTCGACGTAAACTTTAATTTTGTCAGACCCTAATATAAATATTAAATAAAAAGAAAAATAATCCACTATACTGTCCCACATCGACAAGTGAGCACAGTATGAAGGGAAGTAAATGAAATAAAAGCAAAAGTTGTAACTCATTGTAGGCTTAAAAAGGGTCGGTTGGCTAAATATGCCACTCTTGCCTGCGTGGCGAGTGCTGTATGGCTATCAAGACATATGGCCGACATAATTTCTGGAACTCTATAGGGTTGGCTCCTTGGCCGACCCTCCATTTCTATATTAACTTTTTTTTTTTAATTTTGCCAATTTATAATTTGCTTCATTAAATTTTTAAATAATTTGTGATTAATGGAGTAATGTATGTGTAACTGTAAGTATTTGAAAGTGTTAAGTGGTGTGGGAATATTGAAATTTTTATATTCATTTTTTTTTATTTATGTTTAACCCTCATCTTTCAAGACCTAATACGAAACATCATTTAATAAGAATAGCTTGGTAAAATACTTGTATTAGTAATATTTTTAGCAATGAATGTGTCAAATCAAATAGTGATGAATGTAGGAAATATTTGATGTGTTCTTAAAATTTTTGGTATTTGGTATGATATCCAATACTTACATCATTGCGTATATGTATGATATTTAGACATTAGAACTTTTGACTTCTTTAAATTGAAATGTCGATTTTGTGTGATTGACCAACAAAGAGAATTGAACTATCATATTTGTATGATATAATTGAGAATTTTGAAAGTCATAATTCTCTATCATATCTTTATATGCAAGTAAAAGTCGAACAAACTATGATGGTTGATTTTCCGTACTGCAGAATACCATAAATGAACTTTAAAATACCAAACCATATCAAAATAATTTGGCGTGATGATAATATAGTATTTCCAAAAATCGAAAACTGAAATTACTGAATCTAAAGGGGATAAAAGAGTGGAAAGTATATGTACTTTTAACTTGGTTGTTGAAGCAATGAAGTTTCCCCTTTCACTGTCCCAGAACAACAAGCAAACTCTTCTCTGCAGTAGTGGAATCAGAGTTTTGTGCTACGTCGAAACCAATTTGCCAATTAGAAAACATATCTACGTGACATTGGCCTCAGAAATACCTCTGTTGGGAAACCAGTCCGCCATTATATGTCTTCCCAGAGCAAACGCGTATCTCATGAACCAATTGCAATGGTGTAGAAGTCATGTTTACCACCTGCAGTCGCAATAAAGTTTCCTATTAATAAACGACCTTTTCAATTACAATTTTGTAGAGGGCGGGTATCACACTCAATAGAATCAGACTTTGTTTAGGATGAATGGAGGGTAATGTGAAGAAAGCGCTTAAGGTATTGCATGGGCACCGGAAATATGAGAATGGTTAAATGGAACTTGATGTAGAGAAGAAATTTGCCTGTGTGAGCTTGCTCATGTTGCAGATCACAAGCCTGTATAGAGGAAGGTTGCTGTAGGTTGACATCCTACGTAAAACTAGTCAATTATGGACTAAAATTGGAGCGACATAACAATGAGGATTCATATGGCTAACTACAACTTGGTTAGGATTGAGGCATAGTTGTTGTAATGTGCAAAACAAAAGGAATGAGTGAGATGCGCAGTTATAGCAAAGGACTTTACCTGGGAGTACGTAATAAGACAAAAACCAGTCACTGTCCTTGTAGCAGATAAGAGAGATTCATGGACTAGAGGACTCCCAGCTGGCATATACAGCTCCAATTAATTTCTCATGCAGCTTAGTGCCAGAGCAAGCAACTATTCCCCTATCAAGACTTTCCAAGTATATCCCTTTAGAAAAATCAAGCGAACGCCCTCCTGCATCAGTCACCACACCGCCAGCCTCTTGTACAATGAGAACACCAGCTGCATGGTCCCAAATCTTCTCTTTGTACCCAGCTCTAGCAAATTTCATGAAAATTTCAGCATCTCCCTGTGCTATGGCAGCATATTTTACCATGCTATAAACACGGAGGGGCTTGTTTCTGCCAAGGGAGAATAATATGTTAGAGAACACAACTTATCACCCTGAGAAGGCACACATGTGTTTGAGACTGACAGTTGCTACACACCAACATGAAGTACAAGAGAATAGTGGAAAGATCCAATTGTCTGAAGAAGAATATAACAGGATAAATAGATAACCAACAGTGGCAAAATGTTGGAGTCAAAACATTTGAAAATAATTCTCAAAGGTCAAATAACATATCAACATGTTTCTTTTTCTTCTTATTTTTTTCCCCGTAAAGTATGATATCAATAATTTTTTCCTTAAGCAAGTGTATTGTGTTGATTGAAAAAAACAACGCTAGAAACAATCAAGAAGGAAGAACATTGGACTTCCTGGTGCAGTTAATCAAGCACCTAATTGACTGTAAGGAGAGGAGCAGTTATCTATGCAATGACGGTCTTTGCTGGCCGTTGATTTTGCTGTTTAAGCCTTTTATAACTAAATGAATTCTTGGAGGCCGGCTGTAGACTGGCAACAAATTACTAGAGATAGTTTATCAACAAACCTAAGCCCAACAGAGGAAGCAAGTCCAGCTGCAAAGGAGTGGTTTGAATTATCTCTCTCAACTGGCTCACAAAAAGTTGCCAATGCTGGATCATCAATTGGAGAAACACGAACTTGTTTGGCAAAATTTGGCCATTCATATTGACTATCACCAGAAACCGTTGGCTGCACCCAAGCTTCACCAGTACCTTTTTTTGAGTACATCACACATCCTTCTTCCAACATATCAGGTGAGGGCACTGAAACTTCTGATGAAATATGATTTTGCTGTTGCTTATTATGCCTGTCCCTTTTCATATGATAATTAGGGCATCCTAGCACTCCAACTACAACCTCCGCATTATCAATCAACGCTAAAGCCACAGCATATTGACCTCCACGCACAAATCCCAGTGTACCATCAACGGGGTCAAGAACCCAATGCCTGCCACGAGGGCCCCCATTTGAATTGCAGCGACTAATAGCCTCCAGAATTTCTGAAGGCCCCAGGGTTTTATCTGGACCTTTCAGACCATATCTAGAAGCTTGTGCTAAGCATTCATTGACAGTGCTGACAACTTTACCCAATAGACCTGCTGATTCAGGCTTGGAAAGAGTTTGAACATCCTCTTCAGCTACTATGGAGACATTTTCGCTACCAAAAGTATTTGAAAGGATCCAGCTTACAGTTGCTTGCACACTCCAATCTATCCATGCAAAAAAATTGCAGGAAATACTTAGTGTGCATTGTAGACAATCTATGCAATAACTTTAAAAGATGCAAACTTGGAAATAGTAAGAACTTCTTCCACCCTGAATAATTGAAGGAATAAAAACAAACATTACAAACCATGCCCCCCTTTTTTGATAAGTAAGGTAATTTTATTAATGAAGCACAACTAAGATAGTACAGCGCAGATACAAGAAGCAGAAAAGCTAGTCAGGGATCCTATTGTATTAAGGAACCCAAAAAATCCGGCATTATATCAACATCCAGAAAAATCAGCCTTGCACCAAATTTTTAAGTTCTGAAAACATTTATTCTTAAATAATAATACTCTCTCTGTCCAACAATAGTTGTCCACTTCTTAAGAAACTACAAATAGAAGGATAATTTTACCATATTACCATTTGAAAATAATAAATACAATGTCTTGAAAAATGTAATAAGGAATGACTATAATTAATGATAAGGGTGAATTAGGAACAAAGTGTAAAATTATTTATTGATTTCATAAAGTGGACAACTATTGTTGGACATCCCAAAATAGTATAGTGGACAACTATTGTTGAATGGAGGGAGTATAATGCTTTCCTCCTTCCCTACAAGCAAAACCGAGTCCGTTTAAGTGCAGGTTTCTATTAAACACTACCAGAATCCAAAAACAATTCTAAACAGTCTGAGCAAACAATCAGAATATGCTGTTCACTCCTATAAAGTCATAAATGAGATATATCATTAAGCAGCCAAAATAAAACCTCAAGCATCTGAACTTTTATCCAGAAATGGAAAAAGAAAAAAATTTACTAATATCTCAAAATTCCGCACGTTGAACATTGACAAATTGACAAAACTCAACTTAGGTTACTGCCGCATTTGCAATCCATGTATACAATGAAAATACTTGTTCAATAA